TAAAGGATTATGAAGTGTTAGATGAAACATGAATATGCGTACATATAGATTTGTGTGATCATATATCTATTTTTTATAGTAAGTAAATATTCGGCACACAATGAGAAGGAAGTTTTTTTTATTTTTTAAAAAGATAACGTATTTGTCTTAGTGTTACTTAATTAATTACATAAAATTGTGATAACATAGAATATTTGTGAAAGAGCTACACATACATATTACGAAAAATACTACTTAAAAGTTACGTACATACGTATATTTATATGTGTGTATATAAAATTTATATATGCATTTTAAATTTAAATATTCTTCAGATTTATTGTTTAAAAAAAGAGAGATTTCTCTTAATATTTGGTGTATTAATAATAGATGCCATTTCAGAAATTGCTTGGTTTACAAAATATATTGGCATGAAATATAAAACGTTAAGTATGTGATTTTAGATTTGAAAAGTAATGAGCATTATGTGCTTTACGATGCTTTTTGTTGAACTCGCTTATGATTGAAAATTATTCATAGTCTTCGTATTTCGTTCATCCCGCTCAACAGCATTGTGCCGATTATCATTACTGAGTCGTTAGTCAATCCATAATTAAATGTGCATAATATCGTCGTAAAACTACAAGTTTTATATGTTCTGCTGTGATAATTAATCACGAATGAAAGTGCGAGGATATTATATGTCAGGCGCGCTCGTTTGAAGTAATATGACACGAAGAATAGAGAAAGTTAATGCACTGTGAAAAAAGGAAATGAGAGAAAATCTCGCAATTTGCGTTCGTTTTTAAAACGTAACCCGTAATCTTGTCTTAAGAATCGAGAAAATATTTGAAAATGTAAACATTCAATGTTGTTCATATTAGCGAGTGAAATTCTGACGTTTTCACGTAAATCATGTCCTGTATAATAAGTTGTAAAGTCTATTGTGGGGAAGGATGGAACTTGCAAAAAAAATAGACTAGCGAATTCGAGCGAAATAATTACGAACAAAAATGAGAACGGGATAAAAATCTTTTCTGATTGGGGGGGGGGGAAGACGAAATAGGGCGGGGAGGATAGGAAAAAAGGACTCGGAGTAGGCGGAGTAGTGTGAGGATACAGTGCGGGGGTAAGTGCATTGCCATCCCTTTCGTTCTGTGCTGAAGCGCATCGAGGATGGCTGGTCGAGCCCTCTCTCTGTTCCCTTCGAAAAGAGAAGAGTGGGAGAGGGATCGTTTTGGTGCGATGCAAATAATGAATAGTTTGGGAAGATGAACTCCGGCGAAGGTGCATCTCATTGGGATAACTTCACAAGAGTACAAAAGTCACCACATACTATAATATCTTTTTTATGTTCTTTTCAAAGACAATTGAAATCGGTATAATGATCAATGAGACAAAATTTTAATGCTAAGCTAAAATAAAATTGTGATGCTTGTGACACCAGATGGAATTATTTTCTACATTTGGCAAAAATAAAAAAACGAATTTACCGAAATTGGAACAATTTCTTTCGATCCATATAATTTCGAAAATACGAATCCACAAGTGGATGATTCTTATATATTCAAATGTATTTTATGATCACGTATGGTTTTTATTAAAATACAGACACATTTATCTTAAATTTTACTTTTATCAATTAATTATTTTAAATTTTTAAGATAATTTAATCTTGAATTTTGTAAATTTAATTTTTTATCTTGAGAATTAGGGATTGATGAAGAAACATCTGGCATCTGATTGATAACTCTTTCCAATAATTTTCCGTACTTACAATTTTGCTTTTACATAGAAAAACTTTTCGTTATTTTTAAATATCTGTCATATCGCATCTATAGTGTTATGTGAGTTAGAATCTTGCAAAAGTCGGATTACTTATCGGACTAATACTCGAATTTCCGAGTTTTCAAAAACTTATTGATAACTATAAAATTTTTTCCATTTATGTAATTGGTATAGATCGTATAATTAATAGAGAAAGATTGATTATTAAAACAGTAAATACTATAATACGAGAAACTAACTTCGAGTAAATTAATGCAGATTTTATCGGTGAGACTTATTCTTGATATTTCTTTTCTCTCTCTTTTTCATTGTTACTGAAGAGTAACATTAGTATAAATTTATATCCGAAAGACGTAGAAAACAAGCGGCGGAGTGAGAGAACACTGTGAGAGGATGGATGCACCCTTTTCCCCTCTTTCGATGAGGGATGGCACGCTGGTTGGGGAGGATGGCCGCCCTTTTCCGAGGAGAGAGAAGGCAACTCGTTGGAAAATTTATGCCGGCAGCGGATGGACCGTAAAGGTCGCCGTGGTTGTCTCCTCACTTCGGCGCCGTCGCCGCCGGTTTTGCCCTCCTTCGCAAAGGTTGCCAGCTGAGAGCAACGTCAGTAACGAGAGTAGATCGTAGTGTTGTCGCAGCTTGTCTCGGGATCAGTTATGTGTTCTTCTATTATCGCGAAACGTAGTCTCTTCTCTGGAAGGGACAGAGTTTTCAATGGCGTGGTATTTATAGGAGTGAAATTTATAGAAATTAAAGTAATCAGCACACACGCGTGCGCGCGCGCGCAAGAGAGAGAGAGAGGAGTGAAAGGGAATGAGAAAAAGGAAGAGCGAAAAGATGCGAGACAAAGAGGATGAAATCAGCTGGGAAAAATAGTGTGGAATGCGTAGGTAGAAGAAAGAAGGTGCGAATGAACGTTATCAATGCACACTTTGATTCCGTTTTTTCATTCGAGACTTTGGGTCTTTAGATCGGCGTAGTAGATTAATTGGTGAATTATTCGCGTAATGGCTGAAATAATTTCTCGCGGCGGAGAAGGGGGAGGCGATAATTTCTGACAATTCTCAATTTATTATATTCTTAGGTCATTTAATTCTTTAATAAAGGTTGACATCTTTCTTTGCATCATTTAACGATACATGTTATCTTGACTTTAAAACCCATATTTTCAGAAGTATTATATATTTTATCCATAAATATGCGTTTTTATTTCTGAAATTTTATAGTGTATGTAACGTGAACTATATATGCTAATGCGCAGTAACATTGTTACAAGCGCGTGTTCTGAATACGGTCCTAAGGATTTATGCACAAAACATCATGTTTCTAAAGTTAAATAAGTTTTTTATGATATAACATTATATTATATTTCAGAATTGAATTTTTCATGTTACAGTGCATTATGCAAATTATCCAAATTAGATTACGTCACATTACGAAAAACGAATATAGCTACGTTGCGATGAAAGCTTTAGTATACATATATATATTTCTCTTCATCATTACTTATTGACGTTGATCTATGATGCCGATAATGTTCTTTGCGAACACTCGAGATCAGTCGTGCCGCGTGAGAATGATATCATGTCGATATTCGATTATTGCGATGCGGGTGGTGTCACGCATCGACGAAATCAATATTGAGTGTGTGAGACCTTGGATCCCAAGGACATGTATGGCGAGATAAGTCCGTCGGGAGCATGACGCGTGCAATTTGTGATCATCCAATTGTTCGTCATTCATAAAAGGATCGATTGTTATCGCTAAGGGAAACGCACTTCATAGAACATTTTGCTCTCTTGTTGCATGTCTAAATGAAAGATCTTGTAACGTGTGCTCTTTTCAGGTTTCAAATTTTATTTATTTTATTTATTTATTTTATTGTTATTATATGTATCTATTATTATTTAGATTGTAGTATTACTTAAAGCACGAGGTATATATGCTAGTTGTATATTAATTAAGCTGCAAATTAAATTTAAAAAATTTGTTCTACTGATGAATGACAGTATATTGCCGAAGAAAATGCAATGTGCAAACTTTTGTGTGTGTATTATGAGAAGTTTCGATACGGTTCGTATATGCGAAAGACCAGCGATGCACTTGCAAATGTGTGATACGCGGTATTCTTATTCATTTACTGGTACTTTTCTTATCTAATGCAAAACACTAAAAGTTTCTCTGAAATATATAGTTTTGCATTTTTGTTGCGAATTTCCACCGATGCAATTTTCCGCATTTCATTTCCTTGTTGAAAATGGTCACAGTTTCTCTGCTAAATGTTTTCTTTTTCCTTCTGTGTGTTTTCGTTTAGTTATCGATGTTTCTCTTCGCTTTGTATAAGCATACGTGGAATGATCGATTTTGCTAAATCATCTAAAAATTTAACTAGAATATAAATCTGAACATAATTGTGTTAGATTATCAAAATAATTTGTAAAACGCTCAAACTGGGTATATAATACGATTATTTGAAATTAGAAAAAGATAAAGAGAAAAATGTGAAAAAATTGCTTAATAGAAACAAAATTAAAATGTTTTTTAAAATTACTGAAGTTAAACGATTTATATTAAAAATGTTATAAAATTTAATCGCCGTTTCATAAACTTCATTTGAATTTATTCAAGCGCATGGTTGTAGCAATATTACACGCATCTCGAATACGCTAAACATAATGGCTTTTTTTAATTTCGCACTTTTTTTGGGTACGCAGTTTTAGTTTCAGCAACGTTGCATTGCAAGATTTCTTCATTATCGAATCCGGAATTAATTCGATGTTATCGCTCTAACGAGCGACGATGTGACAAAAGGTGCCTCTTGGATAACTAGTGCAACTATTTTGTATCGATTAAATATCGAAAGTGTTTAGCTAATGTGAGTTGATGTACGTATGAAAGAGAAAAAACGAAAGTGAAAGAAAAAAAAGAAAGGAAAATATTTTATTTGGTAATCATATTCAAGTGTAAGCAGGTATTAAATAGATATTTGCATATAGGGATGTGTGTGTATACGTGCAAATGTACGTCAGTATCATCGCGAATTAAAATTGCATTTGGTTAATTATTGATGACGTCAACCTGCGTCATCGCTGCGTCTTTGATTGAAAATAGGATTTTCCTTTCAACAAAACTATGAATCATCTCCATAGTGTCGTATAATTAATCGTCCAATAATACAAGGCAGTATGTGTTGCACAATTTTTAACAATGTATTTTTTTCTTGTGGATTTCAGTGAGCAGACTCCATTGCGAGTCGGAATCATTCAAAATGGATCTCATCCTGGACATCAACAGTTGGTTGTACCCAATGGAACTAGGTGAGTCTTTTATTATTGATAAATTAATTGCTTTTGTTTATTGAAGCGATCAAAAGTGATATCTAATATTCGGTCACACTCACACTATTGTTCCAATTGTGGTAATGCGTTAATACTGTAAACTAAAGAAAGAACACTGAATTTTTGAGAGATTTATTCGTAATTTTATCAAGAAAAAGAGTGCGAGTACGAAAAGTCTTGGCTTATTTTCAATTGTAATTCCTAAACGAAATAATTAACTCTGGCTATATATGTAAGTAAATTTTACGTACAAGTGAGCGAGGCTACTGAGCATTGAACTATGTCTTCAGTGGTCATTAGAAGGTCCAGTTTATCATTGTAAAAGGTAGGCTAAACTTAAAAATTGTGTTCGTTAGATCAGATTGAACCTCTAGGTAGTCAGTATTATAATAGAAAGCCTGATAAAAGTGATTTCAGTTTTAAAGCAATTTTGTGTTATTATTTTGTGTTATTATATATTTTGTTTAAGTGGAGGAGGAGATACACGTATATACAATTGGATTACATGCTTTACATGTCATTTCAAGATGAATATTTAATAATGTACTTATTCTTTCCTTTTAAGTTATAAGTTATTTGTATTTATAAAACTCTAGATTATACCTATATAGGGTTTTACATCGGCTCAGTTCTGGGCCCGTACTGGCTGCCATAGTTCAGGTACTGGCGCAGTACTGGCTAAGTACTGGATGATAACTTGGGCCTAGTATTGGTAGATGATACTGGCCCAATCATTTTAGCCAATCATTTGCCAGTGATGGCCCAGTACTGATTGACAGAACCTTTGCTGTCAATTGACAGTCGTAGCGTTGGCTAAGCGTTGGTTTCGTTGTAACTGCTGGCGTAACCCTATATGGGTAAATACAAAATATTTTTTGTCGTTTAAAGTACGAAATTATGAAAAACTTATGTTATATTAATTAAAAATTCGTATTATTTCCTTATACATAAAATTTATGTATCGATAACAGTACACTATCACTGAATAGCGATAACATTCTAGAGTTAAATACGCGTTAGGTTAACTATATTTTTATACAACTTATATAAATATACACTGAAAAAAATTTCTGGTTGAAAATGGACGAATCAGAATTTTCTGGTTAAATTAGAATTCTAGTTGAGATAACCGGAAATTTGGTTGATACAATATTTCTGGTAAAATCTACTAGAATTCTTATTTTTACCAGAATAATTATAACAATCAGAATAGTTATCTCAACTTAATAGAATTTTTGTAGACTTAACCAGAAAATTCTGATTCGTCCATTTTCCACCAGAATTACTATTTAATCCAACCAAACCATTTTTCTCAGTGTATAAAAAGTATAGAGAGCCACTTAATATTTTTATACAATTTTAAATGTTTGATAACTCATAATATTTTATTTGTTTAGTATATCATTTGAATGATTACAATTTATTTTGCAACTATCTAATTCTATGTACCACACATATATATTTTGTCACTTTTTATCATAAAATACGTTATTGTCTCGAAATCGTAAATTGAATTTTTATTCAGAAATGTATTCGTAAAGAAATAAAAAAATATATGTACCTTATAAGAGAGAATCATTCCGTTGCTTCGTGCAGAGGTATTATAATTTTTGATTGATAATTGTAATTTCTGAGTCATTAATTTTTCATGTTTCTCTGAAATAATCATAAAAATCAATCCATTATTTTGCATTTTTAACGTTGTATTGAGAGTTAAAAGCAAAAGCTCATCTCATACGTGATACATGTGAGCTGAAAGATTTTTTACGGAATATTCGAAAAGCGATACTAAAATAAGCTAATTTAAATGGTGAATGGTAAAAATTATTTATGCGCATTTTATTGTGATCAATATAAAATATTGATAAGCTGATATAAAATATATATATATATATTTTATATATTATATGAAGCTTTATCAGACACACACGAACACATATTTTATTCAACACAGTTAAGTGAAGAAAATAGTAAAAAAGGCCACATATTTTTTTCAAGATTATCTAACGATATTTTTGTGTGGATTTTAAAATTTTTTCAAAGGTCAAGCAAACTGCGTGTCGATTATTTGTCAGCTTTGAAACACAGTCCTAAACTGAAGCTGGAATTGACAAACAGTTTAATATTATTGATGTGCTAATGAGTATCTTTAAAATACTGTAAAGAATTTATTGTGAAAAATATCACCTTTTCTAGACGAGATTCGAATCTGACTCTCCCTCATTCCGTGCAGGCGTCTTACTAATTCAATCATCGAGGCATGTCGTGATATTAATTGCGATAACTAGTATATGTATATATATGTTGGAAAAACGTTTTATCAATATTTTAAAGATGTTTATTAACGTCACTAATATTAAATTGCTTGTCTATTTATTGTGTGATATATTACTGTAATCAAATTTTTTATGCGGACAAAATATGAAAATATACACAAAATATCTAAATATGCACAACTATGCAAATATGCACAATTAAATATGTATTTTTAGAATGCTTTTTCAATTTTGGTCTTACTTTCTTGCTTTCCAAAAAAATATACAATTTTATGAGAATCCGATATCTACAATAGATTTTACGTAATCCAGTTATCAGTTTAGGACTATTATATGTTTCAAGACCGACAAACAGTTTTTTTGAATTGGAAATTATAAAATTCATACAAAGATATCATTAGACATCAAGACCTTCCTTGACTGAAGATTACCTCCTTTGTTAAACATGTGTTGAATATTTCTCGATTGATTTTTCACTTAAAAATATCTTATTGTTAGAGTGGAAAAAATTGCTAAATATATAAAATTCTTTTCAAGAGGATACTTTGTGGTACTATTTAATTATGAAGTAGAATAGATTTTGAAATATGAATTGTATTAACTTTGTTTTCAATTTCTTTGTCATTTAAATTAATCTACGTAAAATTAACATATTATTTTATCAGATTTATTTAACGTAATGTTTGTAAAATATAATTTAATGTTAATATTTAATTGATAAAATTGATATTTAATTGATGAAATTATATCAATCGTACATCTTGCAAGACTAGTTTTAGTTTTGATATCAGCCAATTAAATTTTCTTCCACTAGTACATATTATTATTATTATTATTGTTGTTTTTAAAGTTCTATGCACGTTGTTTCCAACATCTTTAGAAATTGGAAGATGCATAAAAGATTTTTGTCGTATGTTTCGAATTGCGTCGCGTGAAATTATGTTGGCGTTTATGTGCGTAATCTTTCGAAATGCATTTGGCAACTGTGAGCGGTCGTGATTTTCCCTCTCGTATGACTTCCAAACTTCGCCAATGGGGGGGGGGCACTTCCGGTCTCTTTCTTAAACATTGAAACTTTCTACAGGGAACTCTAAAATAGGTTTCAACTTTGCAACTTTTTTAATCCATGTTTTTTTTAGTAAAAATGTTGAGGTGCCAATAGTTGTCAAAAATTACGGATAGTCGAAAATGAATGATTTTAGGTAGTAAAGATTTTAATAGTAGAATACATTTGAAAATATTGATATCCTTATTATAGAATTAATGTTATGTAATTAAATAATACAATTGATTGTTAATAAAATTGTATGGATTTTATTTCTCGAAAGCAATATTTTCTCATGTTTCGAAAAATATATGATACGAAAAACTTTTACAATACAAGAAGTTTACATTTTTAATGTATTATAATAGTTACAGTAATATATTAAAAATCTTTTCCTTTTATTTCAAACGCTAGCCTTTCATTCACGTTTTTCAGATTTCTTGGCAAAAGACATTTAAGATTCGTTTCTTACACTATTTATCACTTTTTGTATTTCCGTCGCTAATGCGAATTTCTTGCATTTGTCTTTTAAGTTGTCTGGCCAAATTTTGTGTTTGTGTGTGTGTGTGTCACACAATGTAGTAAAAGTTGGTAAGATCTAAGACAATATTTTATTCGCATAGAGAGCAAATGCGTTTGATCAAAGCCAAACTGAGATTGCAGTAGCACATCTCTCTTTATGAAGTACATGATTAATCTAGAAATGTAAAAACAATGAAATATTGAACAAAGTCAGTGATCAACCAAATTGGTTGACAAAGTTTAAATAATTATTCAATCGAACATGTAATTAAAATATGAAAAAGAAAAATATATATAAAAATATAAGACGTTTCGGGACTACCGGTCCTTCAGTTATACGTTAGATGATAAAATGTTAATTAAATTCGATAAGACATTTTCAGATGTATTATTACAAGAGATACGTAGATGATATTTGCAATGAAATGACCTTACGTATTAATCGGTGAAACGCTGATGTCATATCAAAGGACGTGTGATAAGAAATTGCAATGATTGTCAAAAAGCAGATTATAACGTCCCAGCATCACGCTATGTGCTCAATATCCTTTTAATCTCGAAATATTTCATTTAAACATAGGCCGGTTTTCATAGTCCGTTCTTATTTCAAGATCGTCTTAAGTAATATCTTAAGATGCTAATACAGCCCTCTGTATACAATCTTAAGATGTCACGAACCAATCAGAGGGCCGTATTAGCATCTTAAGACATCACTTAAGACGGTCTTGAATATAAGAATCGATTATGAATATCGCCCTAGTCATTCTTTCTGAGAAAACCAAACAAGTGCAAATAAAATGTTTAGGAAATCATCCTCGCGTGTGCTATTATGTCATAATTATTTTATATATTCCAGAAAAAAACAAAATTTATTTTTTAAGGCTCCTGTATAAAAATCACCACAGCCATTTTGGATTGTGACATCAGAAACGAGAAAAACAAAGGGAAAAAATTTTTTGAAAATATATTATTATAAATATATTAAAATGTATTTTTTAATAAGACAACATTTGCAATCGATAGAATAAATTTGTAAAATATATCAAAATCTCGGCTTATGTTTTGAGAATCAATAAATAATTATATACTTGAAATTAAATTATGCCTAACTAGAAATTGAAACCAGCTATATATAT